ACATGTGAGGGGGCAGGCTTTATGTTGGGAAGGTAGGCAGGGGGCAGCTTCCCCCCTGCCCCCCCGCCCCGCCTATGCCCATACATAAAACATCCTGCCCATTTCTAAAAGGCTACAGATTATTGAAGTCCAAAGGCCTGGTTATGAGGGGATGTTTTTGCTGGGGGCCTAGAGATAGAGATAGAGATAGAGATAGAGACAGAGAGAGAGAGAGAGAAAGAGAGAGAGAGATAGAGAGAGATAGAGATAGAGATAGAGATAGAGATAGAGATAGAGATAGAGATAGAGATAGAGATAGAGATAGAGAGATAAATTATGGTGCCAGACAAGCCTCCCTCGGGATAGCATTCCAGAAGCAGGGAGCCGCTGCAAAAAAGGCCCTTTCCCATGTTGCCATGGTGATTGAGGCACCTCACAGGCACTGATGGCTTGCCTTTGGCAGGGCATCAAGGGTGACCTATATGAGACTCTTCCAATGAGAAGCAGCAGGTTAGGATGCAAGTCCCAACATAGATCTTTAAATATGGGCCACTGAATGATTCCAAAAACTGGGAAGCCTTTGCAGATGGCTCTTTCTCTTCTGAACAGTTCTCTGCCAACAAAAACAAAAAAGAGGCTGAATCTGAGAATTATCTCACTTCTGGCCCAGGTTTGTGGGGGTATGCCAGCTCCAGATTGTTTCAACTAGTTCAGAAGCAAGCACATAACTGCTAACAGCCAACATACGCTTACTCTGAAGATAAGATATACTGAGTCATGAAGCACTTGGCTAAAAGAATCACATTTGTATCTGACTTTGTGGGAAGTGGTAGCCTTATTATGAGAACCTTACCAGGGCCCCCAGCCACCTTAACCTAACCATACCTTTTGAGCTTATTCCAGAGTAAACATGCATGGGATTGGGCTAGATGAACCTCGGGGTCCCTTCCAAGTCTATAATCCTATGAGAATTATTTATATTATTTATTAGACTTGTATTCAGTTATTCATTCAACGATCAAAAGGCAGTTCACAACATAAAAATACAAAATGAGAACACGAAATACTGAAAAAAACACAAGCCAATAACCCTTGTCCCAAACACAAAGTTTAAAAGGCCATAGAATGTTTTATTAGCCAGAGGCCTGGCCCTAGAGAAATGTTTTTTCCTGGCACCCAAAGATGCGTATGGCAGGCCCCAGGTGAGCCATGGACAGCCATGCAGAAAAAGGCCACCCTCCAGACCTGTTGTGAAGTAGGTACACAAAGAAGGGCCTCAGATGATAATCACAGGGTCCCGGCTGATTCATAGGATTCCAGGGGCAAAGCTGCATGCTCCGCTACCGGGGGCGGAGAGCAGGCGGGGGCGTGGCGTGCATCCTGCGGGTGTGGCGCTGCCCGCAGGGGCGTGGCACACATTCTGGGGGTGTGGCGTGCCACCTGTGGGGGCGTAGCACCCGGCACACATGGGGGTTTACAACACATGTCAGGGGGGTGCCGCAATAGCACCCTACCAGAATAGTGGTGCCGGGGGCGGTGCATTCCCTCCACACCCCTGTTCCTCCACCAGTGTATGATTCTATGTGCTTCTTTCACTTCCATAGAAATAAGCACCATTAAAATCATTGAGCAGAAACGGATACCACTGGTCTGTAACCATATACAACTAGGAGACCCATTTCAGAACTGCTTCTGAGTGAAGATATCATATTATTAAAGGACTATCTGCCTTTCCACAAGTGTGCGTTCTAAGTATATTTTGCAGTGGGAAGTCCCCTCTTTTCAGTGGAGTTCACACTTCCATTTTGCCTCTGGCAAGGGAGCAGGAGGGCCTGTCCCTGGTAAGAAAGGCCTATGAAGTGGAGTGAGGAGGCTAAGAGGAGGTCTCACATTAGGCTTGCCAAAGGTGGTGTACTGGAAGGCAGGGGGTCAGGAGTGCACTAGAGAATGTTCCTACTCGAGGGTTTAATGTTGCAATGGGTCCCAGGCATGTCAAAAAAGGTCATTGGCGTTAGACTTTCTTAACTTATTGTTTTTCCTCTTGAAAAAGGTAGATATGTACTAAAGTGTGGGAAGGGATATAGGCTGGCATTTTGATAACAGGAATTTATTTTTGTAGGCTTGCAAAAGCTTTCCTGAATGAGTGGTGCTGAACCCACAAGCAGCATAATGTGATAATATCCACTTCTTACTCTGAGTTGAGACGCTTGGGGTGAATGCAAACCATGGACTCTCTGTCCCATTGAGATCATGATCAAGATTGGGCTAGAGACTTTGGATATACTGTAATATCCAATTTTCATCCTGGGAACAGTTATGGAAAGTGGAAATAAAATTTACTGCCTGCTGTTCGTTGAAAGAAAATTATATGAAAATGATGTACCATTGGTATCCAACCCCAAATAAAATTGCTAAAATGTACAAAACAAGTTCTAAACTGTGTTGGAAATGTAAAGAGAAAGAGAATACTTTTTACCATATGTGGTGGACATGTACATTGGTAAAGGCTTTCTGGGAAATGATATATAATGAACTTAAGAAAATGTTTAAAAATACATTTGTTAAAAAACCAGAAGCCTTTTTACTAGGCATTATAGGTGAAGAGGCTATGCATGTGGCCTTTGTAACTTCTCCACTCTGCAATCCAAAGGGAGCTTCAGAGCTTAAGGAAATGGCAGGGCCACCACTGGATTTGTAGTCCTGCCGTTCATGCCAGCAGGAACAGCAGCAGAAGGGGAGGGGCAAATTGCTTCATGGGTGAAGCCATCATATGATGGTATCTGGCCTGACTTGGGCTCCAGACTGGCAGAGCAATTTGGATGTGCTGCTTTGTTAAGTCATGATGCTCCCCTGGCTGAGGTTTGGAATGCTCCCATGCTGTGCTTGCACCCTGCCAACACACAGTGCTATAGACTTAAATAAACTGTGGCAGGGAGAAGAGGAGTGGGCCACCTTTCTCCCATCAACAGCTGGATTCTCTTGGAGCAATCTCTCAGCAGAGGGTATTATCAGAGATGCTTCACGCTTTTCTTCCCCTCCTCCTCCCCCCATTTCTTTTCCCTTGCTGAGTGATGCTACCTCAGCTGGTTGAATCTTCCCTCCTCATGATTCCCGTGATGACTGAAGCTTTTTTTTGGGGGGGGGGGGGTTACTTCCATCAGAATTGTGGAAGAGGGAGGGGAGATTTAAAACATTCTGTTCCCTGAAAAGTGGGGTGAACTGCCTATCAGTATCCTAAGGCCCCACCTCATGGATGGCAAGGAGGGAGCAGAGAGAGAGAAACAGGAACATTAAGGGTGAGAGCACCCAAAACCCTCCCACTAGTTCCACAAACCAGCCTACAATGTTTGCCTGAGACAATCACCAGGGTGACCTGTGACTGTTTAGGGCAGGGATAGGCAACCTAAGGCCTGTGGGCCAGATGCGGCCCAATTGCCTTCTCAATCTGGCCCATGGATGGTCCGGGAGAATGTGTCCTTTTATTTAAAATGCATCTCTGGGTTATTTGTGGGGCCTGCTCCGGTGTTTTTACATGAGTAGAATGTGTCCTTTTATTTAAAATGCATCTCTGAGTTATTTGTGGGGCCTGCCTGGTGTTTTTATGTGAGTAGAAGGTGTGCTTTTATTTAAACTGCACCTCTGGGTTATTTGTGAAGGGCAAGAAGGGAGCAGAGAGAGAGAGCACCCAAGACCCTCCCACCAGTTCCACAAGCCAGCCTACAATCTTTGCCTGAGACAATCACCAGGGTGACCTGTGACTATTTAGGGCAGTCTTTCTCAACCTGTGGGTCCCCAGATGATGTTGAACTACAACTCCCATCACCCCTAGCTAGCAAGGCCAGAGTTTAGGGATGATGGGAGTTGTAGTCCAACAACACCTGGGGACCCACAGGCTGAGAACCGCTGGTTTAGGGTCTTTAATCAAGTATAGGGTAGTGGTGAGAGTGTTGGGCTAGGGATGGGGAGAGCAAATCCCTCCTTCTCCGTGGCACTCCTTGGGCCACATCTGGACATTTACTGTCTCGCCTACTGGCTCCTTGGAGGAAGTGTAAAATATAAACAGAATAGAAAGCAAATAGAATTGCATCTTCAAGAGCTAATCAAGGCTAGAGATCTAATGGAGGCAGTTAAACTGCTGCGCCACATCATATGAAATCCCACCTGCAATAGAATTTAGTCAGAAGATGGAAAATTAGAATTGAAGAGACCAGGTTGCAAAAAACACATTTTTATTGATTATTTGGTGGATACATTGACAAATGATACAAACATGATTCTATGCATTCAAGAAGCAAATGATTCAGGACCCGTCCGGGCTTTCCTGATTTGCCTCTGCAGGAGTCATACACAGAAATGGTTATACAATGAAAGATTAAGGAAACCTCAGAGATTATTATATGGCAAAAGAAAAAAATACCCTCCCATAAGACAGACCCCCGGCTTGTGCCAATATAGAGCAGGTAACAAGCCTCCCATAGGAAAAGTCAAACACAGTGATGCAACATGCTGAGCCACAACAAGCTTTTCAGTGCACTTTAAATGCATACTTTAAGCACATGACATAATGATAAAAACACCTTATTACAACAAAGTATAGGGTAGTGGCAAGAGTGTTGGACTAGGGATGGGGAGAGCAGGGTTCAAATCCCTCCTTCTCCATGGCACTCCTTGGGCAAGATCAGGACACTCACTGTCTCGCCATCCAACCTACAAGGCTCCTTGAAGGAAGGGTAAAATATAAGCATAATAGAAAGCAAATTGAATTTAATCTGTGGGTTCTAATCAGGGCTACAGATCTCATGGAGGCAGCTAAACCTTGGGCCACAACATATCATGTACCAGCTGCAAATTTAATCAGAAGATGAAAAGCAGGAATTGAAGAGACCAGGTTGAAAAACACACATTTTTATTGATAATTTGCCTAATTTCTTCTGCAGTCCCTGATTCTACAAAGCATGCTGCTTATCAAGCTACTCTACTTTGGCAGGGAATCCCAAGCCCTTGACTGAGAGAAGGATCTCCTAGTTTTCGGGGCGAGTCAGGGGTCTTCGGCGGCCCCGGTTCCGCTGCGGGGGAGGAGTTTCCATCCGAATTGGGACAAGTCCTGTTGAAAACCACACGACGGCCACATTCCCAGGCATCCGAGCTGGAGGCTGCACACTGGGGGCATTGCTGGGGAGAGCTGGAGGCTGCACACTGGGGGCATTGCTGGGGGGAGCTGGAGGCTTCACGCTGGGGGCATTGCTGGGGGGAGCTGGAGGCTTCACGCTGGGGGCATTGCTGGGGGGAGCTGGAGGCTTCACGCTGGGGGCATTGCTGGGGGGAGCTGGAGGCTTCACACTGGGGGCATTGCTGGGGGGAGCTGGAGGCTTCACGCTGGGGGCATTGCTGGGGGGAGCTGGAGGCTTCACACTGGGGGCATTGCTGGGGGGAGCTGGAGGCTGCTCACTGGGGGCATTGCTGGGGGGAGCTGGAGGCTGCTCACTGGGGGCATTGCTGGGGGGAGCTGGAGGCTGCTCACTGGGGGCATTGCTGGGGGGAGCTGGAGGCTGCTCACTGGGGGCATCGCTGGAGGTAGAAGCAGGACCGTCATGGAGACTTGGAGGACCCAGTGCACCAACAGGCAATAGCTGATCCAATCTGGTGTAGGTTTCACGGGGTTTCACAGAAGAGCCGGTCTCTCCCTCGATCTCCTCTGGTACTTCAAAGGTGACTGTCTCCGTAAGCCAGAATTTTCTGCAAGGGCGGTAAAAACCCCAGTAGAATATCACAGTAGCAAGAACTCCAACACAAAAAACGGTCACCAACAGCCAGTCTGAAACAAAAGAAAGATATTGATCAGTGCTTGTTCTGCTACCCATTTGCTCGATTGTTCTGCTCAACGGGACAAACTGGACTCTCCAGGAATGGAGCAAGGGATTTTAACCAAAAATCCGGAGAGGGGTGGTATGGCTAGCATCTTTAGGCAAAGTATCGCACACTGCAACAATTTCCCCCATCTCTAACTTCAGGAGTCAATATCCTTAATGGAGCCTGACTGCACTCGGCTGAGAAGACTCCCTGGGACAAATGTCTCTGCACCGAAGCAACCTAGAAAACAGGACACCCTGGACTTCGTTGGGAGAATTCCCGCCCGCCCCCATACAAATCTTGCCCGTCCGTGCCAACTTAGAGTCTTCTGGCGCGTTAAAAACCAACGAATTTCTCACAGCACCTTAAGACGTTTTAGCGCAGCCTAAGACTGGGCCCAGACGACCCCCCTGAAGCACCTTCGAAGCCCTTCTTGCCCTCCCCGCAAATCTTCTGCGCACTGGACTTCACCCTAATGGAGTTCCCGTTCCCAGCTACCCTTCCCAAGCGATAGCGCGCAGCCTTCTTGGGGAGGCGGAAGGGGCACCGAAGGTGCTCTCCTCGTCCAGTGTACACCTCTGCGCTTCACCGCAAGATCATGAGCGGGGAAGACATAAATAGACCGAAAGGGGAGCGGGAGACCCATGTCCAAAAAAGAGAAAGCAGTAGTTTCGCTTTCAGAATGAGGCGCACAATGGGCGCAGCCAAGGGGCCCCAGGGACAGCTGCCTCCCCAATTAATCAAAATTAATACAAATAATAACAAATCTGAGGTCTGCGCCCCCTAACAAAAATACTGGCTACGCCTATGAGGCTCAAGTAGTGTCCCCCGGAGGTGCCAAAAGATGCGAAAGTAGGTGGCTGCCTTACATTGCACTGGAGGGCACGGCTCCCGTTTGCCGTCGGTGGGGCGCGCTGGGGAGCCCTCGGCGAGCTCTTCGAAGGAGCAATTGCGCGTCTGGTCGCAGGTCCCGCAGCAGAACTTGACTTCGGCACCGTCGGGTTGCCCCGCGCACTGGAAAGCTTCCACCTGCGGCGGCACGGTCCCGTACAGCCACTTGGCGCACGTCGATCCATTGGTCTCGCTCAGCGGCCGGGCGTCTTTGTTGGGAGTAGGGACCGCGATCTGGGTCTTGCCCCAAGGCAGAAGGCGCAGCAGCAGCAGAAGAGCGAAGAGCAGAACACACTTCATGGCGGCGCAACTCACAGCTGGGCTCACCTCGAAGAACTGACTGACCGACTCTCTCCAGCAAGCTAAGTCTGCCTGGCTGGTCTAACCCGCCCCACACGGACAGGTCCGTCCCACTCAAGCGCAGCCAGTCAGAGACAATGACTCGGTATCAAACTTCCTCTCATAAAGGCTGCATGGGCGCCGTATCCGCTGGGGCGGCCCCGATTCTGGCTGCACAGGTGTCCCGTGCAGAAAGCAAGTTTACACGGAGGGCCAGATCCTTGGTCGATCTACCTGGGTGTTCTCTCCGCTATCCGGCAATTCTTCTCTGGGCTTTCAAAGGGGGGCGGTGGGTGGAACATTCCCGCCCTCCCGGGAATTGGACCGGAGACCTTGCGCCTTCGACGCAGGTGCTCTAGTACGGAGAGCTGGTGGGGTTTAGGGGCATCGAAACGCTCCCTCCCCGATGGAAGTGTGTGCCAATAGCTTCAGAAGTCGAATGAAGAGGCTCTTGATGCGCTTGGACAATTTCCCCATCTCCTGTCGATTCCTGGGGGGCTATCCGCTCGAGCCCACCCAAGCTTCCTCAGTAGTAACAGCCTCAACCCCCATTTGTATTAGAAGTAAACAGACAAACAAAAACGGAGCTGGCGAATATTTGCTCGCAATAACTGCTCCTTCTAGACGCACCACTCTTTAGAAACAGCTGGCTCCGAGGCAGGAGCACACAGAAGAATCCATTGTTCAGAGGCGCTTTTTGAGGGGTAGTGTGGTGCAATGGTCAGAGTGCTGGTCTAGGAAGTCCAGGGTCAAATCCCTGCTTGCCCGTGACCTTGACGCAGTTTCTCTCAATCTAACCTACTTTGAGGGGTTGTTGTGAGAGTAGAACTGAGGTGGAGAGAATTATGTAGAATCATATCATTGTAGAGTTGGAAGGGACTTCGAGGGTCATCTAGTCCAACCTCCTGCAAAACAGGAACGATGCTTTCACCCCTTGAAGTAACACAGGATTCAAATCTAGGAAATACAAAAATAAAATAAATACATGCACTGAACACTTAGAAATCAGTACTGTACCAAATTGGACTGGATCCTGGCTTTCTTTCATGCACATCTTCTACTTATTGGGTAGTAGCACCATCCAAATCTTTGGCAATTACTTGGGCTGTATTCAAATATCTGAACGGATGTCTGAAGGGATGCACGATGGTGCAAGCTCATTTTCTGCTTTTCTAGAGGGTAGGATCCAAACTTATGGATTCAAATTAAAGGTAAATGGTAGCTATAACTTTGTAACAAGAGAAGCCGTTAGACCGTTGAGACAATTACCTCGGAAATATAGACATGTGTATAGATGGTAGGAGAATATGTATTTATTAGATATTATCCTTCGTCACGTTTGTGAATTCAGAAGAGTGCATCACATTGCAGATTAAAAGGGAACCTTAGATTGGTTAATTTTAGCCTCTTAGATTAAGTAATCCAGGATGCTGTAAAGCAGATTGGATTATCTTGGTCTTTCCCCTCTCCTTTAAAACAATAATCATACATATTATATTGGAAAAGGTAAAAATAACAATTATTTACTCAGAATATTTGTTGATGAGTAAGAGATACAGCAGCTTTAGACCTACTTTAGTCTAGATTAAGGTGGTGTCTGAGCAATGGAGCCCAGACAGGCAGATGTTCTCACATTTTTGCCTTGGCAATGAGTTTATATATGGTTACGCCCCCCCCCCCCGACAGGGCACAGTAGAAGTGGCTCTCACAGTTCTCTCTAGCAAACTTACAGGAAATATCTGTGAGCTCCAAATTCTCTTCAGCTCCTATCATGTGCCTATCTAGCAAATATGATTTTTTTTTTACTGCATTGTAAATATCCTACACACCCCTTCTCAAGCAAAACAACATACATTCATATACACTTTTATGAAACCACCCAGAAACTCATATTCACTCAAACATTCTGCAAACTGTATCTCGGTAGAGGCTTGGTCAGGATACCTGCAGTTATCTCTCTTGTGTGGCAACAAGCCAATCAGGGCGGCCGTCTTAAGCATATCTGACGCCGTGATGCAAAGATCCCTCTGCCCTCCCCCCGTCTCCCAGAGTTGCTGACCTTTTTTAGGGAGGACGGTGCTGCGCCCAGGTTTGCGGGGCTGGAGGAGGCGGGCAGCGGCTGGAGGGCAGATCTTCTGGTGGGGAAGAGGCGGAGGCTGGACACGGCGACTCCCGGCTCAGCTGGCCGCTTCGTGTCATGGTGGCCATTGCAGGTGGAGGCTCTGGGCACAGCGCTGCTTCGGTGCAGCATGGTGGAGGTGGGCAAGGGTGGTGAGCTGATGCCAGGAGGCGCCGCGTCCAGCCTCCGCCTCTTCCCTGGCACCCTCCAGAACTTGGCACCCTGGCGCCCTGCGCCATTAGCCTCTATGGGTAAGACACCCCTGAAGCCAACTCCACAAGTCCATCTGGAATGGCCTCATGTACATAGTGATACTGCACCCCAAGCCGGACTGGATTGCCTAACTCAAATGTTTCTAATGAATCTATCAACTACCGTATTTTTCGCTCCAGAAGACACACCCGACCATAAGACGCAACTAGCTTTTAGAGGAGGAAAACAAGAAACAAGAAAGCAACACAAAGCCTCTTGGGCGAAGAGGCAGGAGCACTCCAGCTGTGCTCAGGAGGCTTTGCGGGGCTATCGCTGAAGCCAGGAGAGCAAGAGGGATCAGTGTGCACTGATCCCTCTTGCTCTTCTGGCTTCTGGGATAGCTGCGCAGCCTGCATTCGCTCCATAAGACGCACACACATTTCCCCTTACTTATTAGGAGGGGGAAGTGCGTCTTATAGAGCGAAAAATATGGTTGCTTCCTGCTACGTATAAGGGAATGTGCTCTGCTACTAGCTCACTAGCTTGAGTGAGGAAGGATAATATTTAACCCATATATCCTCTCCTAGGGACGCGGGTGGCGCTGTGGGTAAAACCTCAGCGCCTAGGACTTGCTGATTGCATGGTCGGCGGTTTGAATCCCCGCGGCAGGATGCGCTCCCGTCGTTTGGTCCCAGCGCCTGCCAACCTAGCAGTTTGAAAGCACCCTCGGGTGCAAGTAGATAAATAGGGACCGCTTACCAGCGGGAAGGTAAACAGCATTCCATGCGCTGCGCTGGCTCGCCAGATGCAGCTTGTCACGCTGGCCACATGACCCGGAAGTGTCTGCGGACAGTGCTGGCTCCCGGCCTATAGAGTGAGATGAGCGCACAACCCTAGAGTCTGGCAAGACTGGCCCGTATGGGCAGGGGTACATTTACCTTTACTATCCTCTCCTACTATCCTCAACATTCCCACAAAGGGTTATGGGGCTCAGAGTTGAGTATTTTTGGTGGATTCAGCATTCCCACACCTTTAAGATAGGAAACTGCTGTTTTCACACCCACCCAGTAATGTTCAGTGGGAGCATTTACCATTCTGCATAGAATTCCCACTGCATTGGCTATGTCCAGTCTGCAGGTTGTGGCCAGGTGTAAGTCTACCTATTGCTGACCTGTATTTATTGTTGTCAGGCAAAGAATTGAATCCTCTTGATTCTTTGAGAAGTCAGTGTTCATGGGTGTGGCAACTAGATGTGCTTCTTGCATCTCAAGCTTGCCAATCAGTTCAGCAACCTTCTGCTTTTGACTTACAAGAAAAGAACCATCTTCTTCTCTCTCAACTTTGATTCCTAGATTGTACAAGATCTTTCCTAGTTCTTTGACCTCCATATCCTTGCTTAAATGTTTCACAACCTGTATGCAATCTCTATCATCGACCAAGGCAACAATAAAGTCCTCAACAGAGGAAAGAATGTAAGAAAATTGTCCAGTTTTGAACTTGGTGTACAAACAAACACTTTGTGGGATGTATTATTACTTGAGTAGTCAATACAACATTTTCCTGTTGCCTAGAATGGAAACACAGAGGAATGTGGCTCCAGACAGGGAGGACTTCCTATCATACCTGCTCTGGAGCTTCCCCCACCCTGTGTGACCAAATAAAAGGGCTGGCCACACAACCAGCTCTTACTCTTGGACTATTGGACTCTTACTCTCTTACACTTGGACTCTTAGCCAGCACATGGCTCAAGCTTCACAAGCAGAAAGTCTGAGATGTAGCTCAGACTTCTTTTCACTGTAACCACAAGATAAAGCTTGCCTTCAGATGACTGCTATGAACTGAATGTGAGTAAAACTTTGTTCTTATGTTTAAAGAAGACTGTGTTGTGTTATTATTTTAAGAGGGGGAAATGGGGAATCTTACCAGGAACAATTCAGACTGGACAAACCAGACTGGATTGCTTAATTAAAGAATTCTAATGAATCATCAACTTTCTTCCAATAAGTTGCAAAGAGAACGTGCTCTGCTATTTGCTCGCTAGCTTGAGTGAGGAGGGAGAATATCACAACAATATAACCCCCCCAGCTTCTTTAACATTCCCACATACATTAGGTCTTGTGTTTCTTCTTCTGATTGCTTAGAGAAGTCAACAACACTTCCTCTTGTGTCATCCTTACTCTGTTCATAGAATTATCCATGTGTTTTGAGCTGAAATCCTGTTTTCAGATCCATAATTTTGTAGCCTTTTCTTCCAGTTCCAAATACATGTATGTGTAACAGATTGGGAGTTCTCTCATGCCAAAGCTCAAAAGGTTTGAGTTTTGCTCCCTTTTCCTGGCAATCTGTTCTGGAGATTCACTGCAATCCCTGCTGCATCTCCCCACATGCACTGGGGCAGAGATGCATATTTTAACATGCACCTTTTCATCTTCATGATGAATCTAAACTTTCTTTCTGCTACTGAGTTCTGTTGTGGGGTGGAAGGAATGCTTGGAACATGCTTAATCTCCTCTTTTCCTAGGAGAGTTTCCATATTGTTTGAACCCTACTGACCCCCACTGTCAGTCATCAGAATAGCTGGCTTTCTCTGGAACTTGTTCTGTGCCATGGCAAGGTATTTCTGGAACATTTACAGCTAGTGTTCCTTGAG